CTTTTCTGTACATAAGAAACTTGTTGAAAAAACCAGCAGTATAGTCCCATTCATAATAGCCTCAAAAAAAGAAAAAAAAAAAGCCTAGGTATAATCTTAACCAAAGGCCCTTGCAAAGCAAAATATAAAATAGTAAAGAAAGAAATTGAAGAAGACTCTAGAAGATGGAAAGCCCTCCCATGTTCATGGATTTGCAGATTAATATTGTGAAAATGGCTATATTACCAAAGTAACCTACAGATTTAGTGCAATCCCCATTAGTATTCTAATTATATTCTTCACAGAAATAGAAAAAAAAAAAACCTAAAATTCATCTGAAAACACAATCTCAAATAGACAAAGCTCTTCTGAACAAAAAGAACTATACTGGCATTATTATCATACCTGACTTCAAAGTATACTACAAAGTCATACCTGACTCTGTGATACTGGCACAAAAATTGGCATGTAGACTAACAGCACAGAATAAAAGACTCAGAAATAAGCCTACACAGCCAAAACTATCTGATTTTCTATAAAAATACCAAAATGTGCACTGTATTAAAAAGTGCCTCTTTCTCTAGGGAAACTTGATATCCATATGTAGAAGACTGAAACTAGGTCTATATCTCTCACTTTGTTAAAAAATCAGCTTGAAATGGATCAAAGACCTTACTGTAAGATCCAAAACTTTGAAACTGCTAGGGGAGAAATTTTAAGATATAGGCATAGGCAAGGAGTTTCTGAGTAGGACTTCAGTAGCTCAAGAATAATAGCAATTTGATAGGATTACATCAAATTAAAAAACAGCTACATAGCAAAATAAAAAATAGTGAAGAGACAGCCTGCAGAATGGGAGAAAATCTTTGTCAGCTATCCATCCAACAGGGGATTAATACCCAAAATGCATGAAGAACTCAAAAAGTCAAACACCAAAAGTACAAAAAAATCCAATCAATAAAAGGGCATGTGAATAGAATAGACACTTTTCAAATAAAAATGTCCAAAAATGGCTCATAAGCACATGAAAAGATGTTCAGCCTTTTTAGCCTATAAATGCAAATCAAAACTAGACCAAGATTCTATCTCATCCCAACCAGAATGGCTGTCAAGAAAACAAAAATCAACAAAGATTGACAAGGATGTGGGGGAGTGGTTTCAGAAGAGGGAGGAGAAACCCTGTTTGTGGGAATGTAAATCAGCCTTCCACTGTGGAAATCAGTATGGCGATTCCTCAAAAATCTTAAAATAAAACTATCATATGATCCTGCTCTACTGTTCCTGGGCATATATCTAAAGGAATATAAATCAGCATATAATAGAGATACAATCCATACACCCATGTTTACTTCTGTATTATTCACAGTAGCCAAATTGTGGAATCAGCCTTAAGTGCCCCATCCATTGATGAATGGGTAAATAAAATATATTATAAGTACACAACATAGGATTCAGCCATAAAGAAGAATACAATTATGTCATTTGCAGGAAAACGGGTAGAACTGAAGATAATGTTGTTAAATGAAATAAGGTAGACTCACAAGAATTTCACGTTTTCACATATGTGAATTTAGTGAAGAAAAAGTATATGGAAGTAAAAAGGGGGACTATTAGGGATCAGGAAGGGGATGGTGAAAGAGGTATCAAAGAAGATTATGGAAGGCATGAACATGACCAAAGTATGTTAAATTCAGGTGTGAAAACATCACAAACCCATTATTTTGTACAGATAAAGTACCCTAATAAAAATAGTGGCTATCTTCTAGTGGAATCATGAACAAACTCAGTTTAAAAATATTTTAAAATGGGAAAAGGAAAGGAGGGGTCCTTTTTGGAAAAACATTACTAATTCATGACTTAGCATTCTGCTAGGTCCTTTTTAGAATTTGAGATAGACAGTTTCAACTGGTAAGAATTCCACGTGAGCCAGGCACCATTGGCTTATGTCTATAATTTTACTACTCAGACTACAGAAGTCAGGAGGATCATGGTTCAAAGCCATCACAGGCAAATAGTTTGCAAGACCCTATCTCAAAAAACCCATCACAAAAAGGGCTGGCAGAGTGGTTCAAGATGAAGGCCCTGAGTTCAAATTCCAGTACTGCAAAAAAAAAAAAAGCCAGGTGAAAGCAGTGTCATAGTTGCATATAATGTAAGAAAATTAACTATATTGAGTCCTCTATGATGGGCCAGTGTTTTTGTAAGTTTACTTTATATTTCAAATGATTCTGAGGTCCATAAATTGAATCAGCAAGATGATAACATTCCAAGATAGGTAAATAATAAAAATATCATAAGACATTAATTTTATAAAGAATTATTCTCGGCAGGGGGGAGAAATGACCCAAGCCTTGTATGCACATATGAATAATAAAACAATTAAAAAAAAAGAATTATTCTCAATTCCATAACAGTATAGTAGGTTTACTCTTCTAGTGAAAATAGATGTGTTTGGTAGAGAAAAAGATAATGTTAATTCTTATTTTTAACTCTGAGAGGGACACATAGTTTGCGTTGAAACAAATGTTTGTTTCATCAAACATTTTATGTGAATGTCTATGGTATTGACATGTACTTTTAAAGCAACAATCTGTTCTCATATTCACTGTCACTTGATTTATTAGCATTAATAGAAATTGAAAATCATTGCCCAAATAGGCTATTTTCATTAGTATTTGTAAAATTGCTCATTTTAATTTTTTGTAAATATGCTGATACATCAAAGTATATTCTAAATGTACACATACCCTTTTCCAAGTTCTGTGCAGTCTCATATTGAGCTTTTTGGTGATTTGGCTGTGGAAAACAGGTCTCATGGCAAGATAGACTTGGATGCTTAGTTAGAAGCAATGTTCCCCATCCTTTTTAAACTTTGAAAAAGCTTATGCAATAACTATACTAATATTGAATATGGTTTTTTTCAAACCACATATGTTTAACACTCCCTTACTTCCCCAGAATTCTCATATGCTCCTTTAGATAGTTAGGTCTTAAGAAAAAAATCATTAGTTTAAAGAAAGTAGAAAAATACTTTTGAAATTTTCGTTTCTTGTCCATTATCACAAGGAAATGTGAATTATTAGAGGGAACTTTTTACTCATTTGTTCATTCATTTAGCAAACATGGATTTGCTCCTACTACAGATGTTTCCAACCTAATATAGGTTACTTTTTAGTAAACCTATTTTTAGTTGAAAATATAAGTTTAAAATGCACTTAATACACCTAATCCACCAGTAGCCTAGCCTACCTTACATGTTGGGCAAAATTACCTACCATAAACCTATTTTGTAATAAAGTGTTGATTATTTCATGTAAGTTTTTGAAAACCTGTATTCAGAAAATGCTGGGGATACTTGTTTACTTTTGTGATGGTATGACTGAGTGGGAGTTGTGCTGCTGCCGCCCAGCATTGCAAGAGGGTATCATTGCACATGTATATGTATTGCTAGCCTGGGAAAAGATCACAATTCCAAATTTTGAAGTACAGTTTCTACTGACTGCATATCATTTTCTCACCATCATTAAGTTTAAAAAAATGATAAACCAAGTATTTTAAGTCAGGGACCATCTTTATATGTTGGGTCTTTTAAGATACAAAGATAAAGATGATAACACTAAACTTGTATGAGAATATAAAAAACATTATTTTAAACTTAAAAAGAAACTAAAAACAATCCAAATGTCCATCAACTGATGAATAGTTAAGCAAAATGTGGTTTATCCACCCAATGAAATACTATTCAGAAATAAAAGGAACAAAACCTAACATACTTATGATACAAAATGGATTAGCTTTAAAGGAAATGCACATCAAAACCACACTCAGATTCCACCTCAACCCTGTTAAGATGGCTAACACCAAGAACACAAGCAACAACAAATGTTGGCCAGGATGTGGGGAAAAGGAAACCCTCATACACTGCTGATGGAAATGTCAGCTAGTACAACCACTATGGAAAACAGTATGGAGGCTTCTTAAAAAACTAAAAATAGATCTGACATTTGACCCAGCAGTTCCATTCCTAGGGATGTACCCAAAGGAATGTGAGTCAGCGTACAACAAAGACACCTGCTCTCCATGTTTATTGTAGCACTGTTCACAATAGCTAAGCTATGGAACTAGTCAAGGTGCCCCACTACTGATGAATGGTTTAAGAAAATGTAGTATTTATATACAATGGAATTTTAGTCAAAGAAGTCAGTGAAGCCACAAAGAAGAATGAAATTTAGTCATTTGTAGGTAAATGGTTGGAACTGGAGAACATCATCTTAAGTAAAGTTAGCCGTAACATACAAATTTGTAGATCCGACAGGCCAATCAGTGGTTCCCAAGGTTGGGGTGGAGGCAAAGAGTAACACCTAGTGGCCATGATGGAAGTATATGAGGTTATGAAAATGTTCTAAAATTGGATTGTGATGATGATTGCACAGCCCTATAAATGGACCAAAAATCATTGAATTATATATTTATAGTAGTTGAATTCTGTGGTACATAAATATGCCTCAAGAAGGTATTAAAATAAAATTTCATTGCAAAACATCACAAAGATTTTTAAAACCATTGCCTTTAGAGAACTCACAGTTATTCAGTCAGTAAGTGAAACATATAAACAAAGAATTAGATCGTGTTCTGTATATGTAGGTGTATGGAACTTTAAATTGTGACAGACTTCTTAGGTAAGGAATACTTTATAGAAACAATACTTAAGATTAACCTTGCAAAATGAGTAAGGAATTTGCGAGGTGGAGAAGAATTTGTTTCTTGACTTAGTGCTAGCACACAGGAAGTAACAGGTCGTCTTTCTTTCCATTTCTTGGATTTTTACATTTTTCCATGTGTAAATGTATTGACAGTTCTGAATTCAGCAGAAATACTAAGAAACTAATTGTATTAGTTCCTTAGTAAAAGTTGATCATTCATATTACACATAATAGTCTGACTTTTGGCTCTTATTAAGTACTTGAGGTTTTTAATTTATTATAGCTTACCTTAAGTAAATTTATACATTCTTTCATTATATGTATGTGAGTATATTGTATGTAGTATTTTTCAGATGGTTACTAAGTGGCTACCTTACTGATTCTATATTATTTCTTACAGAAAAGCTTGCAGAGGCTCAACGCAAGTTTGCTACACTTCATAATGAGCTTCAGTCATCACTGGATGCACAGAAGGAAAGCACTGGTGTTACTACCTTGCGGCAACGCAGAAAGCCAGTCTTCCACCTGTCCCATGAGGAACGTGTCCAACATAGGAATATTAAAGACCTTAAACTGGCCTTCAGCGAGCTCTACCTCAGTCTTATCCTGCTGCAGAACTATCAGGTACTTAAGAGTCTTACCCCAGAGAGTGGCATTTTTAAGTAAGGGAGGAAATCCAATGAGTAGAATTACCTTTGAATTTCCATCCAAAATGGAAAATCATTGGCATATTTATTTTTGGGGTTCTTACTGAGATTTTAGATATTTTAATTGGCCAAAATCCATGTAACAGAGGTAGTAAAACTATTGACAGGACTTGATATTTTTAAAGATTCGTTTTCTAAAGTTTTATATAATATTTTAGGGTATCCTTTGACTCCAGGACTAACGGTTTGCTCTCTGTTTTTAAAAGCAGCTCTGATAGTGGTGAGAAGAAATAAATATGTGTCTGCCAAACCATTGTTGGCTATGTAAGAGCTTTTATATTGCTCCCAACCAGTAGCAAAATTTCCTACCCATTATCAGCTGACTCTGTATGTGTGGTCAGTTCTTCTTTTCTGCTGACTCTTTTGTACTCTGATTCACAAACTGAAGAATGGAAAGAAAATGAAAGTTAAGAGACCTAGTTGAGCTTCTGTTTTTTTCTTGCAGGTGCATACATGCTTGTCTGGTAGGAGGGAAAATGCACATTAATACCAGTCACTCAAAAAGCAAAGAAATAAGTAAATGTGTTTAGTGCATTGTAAATGCAAAACATTTTTTGAAAAATATTCTTTTGACCAGAGCAACAAAATAATATAAGCTGTTTTGGGAACTGTTGTACATAGTTAAATGGAAATGAAAATGTTTGACTTTAGGATTTTCATTAATTTACTTGGTTTGTTTTTGTTGGCACTGGGATTTGAACTCGGGACCTCACATTTGCTAGACAGGCACTGTTATCGCTTAAGCCACCCCCAACCCTCCTTAATTTACTTGGAAGAGAAATAGTTTGTAGTTTGTATTCCCTCTGTGTTGTTAACAGTGTACTACCTTGAAATGAATGAGTGATATACGATAGAAGAGTCTTATCCTTTTAATAGTGAAGGCTGTTATGAATGCACTGCTATTTCCTTAGGTACTTAATCTTTGACCAGTCAGCTCTGTCAATGTTTAGTGCTTACTGTTTTTTTTCTTTTTCTTTCTTTCTTCTTTTTTTTAGTAATAGCAGAAATTATAATTGTATTTCTCATTTCTTTCTGTAGAATCTGAATTTTACAGGGTTTCGAAAAATCCTTAAAAAGCACGACAAAATCCTGGAAACATCTCGTGGAGCAGATTGGAGAGTGACTCATGTAGAAGTAGCCCCATTTTATACATGCAAGAAAATCATTCAGCTCATCTCTGAAACTGAGGTATCATAGCCTTGTTTATTTACCATGTATTTTCAATAATATGTCTTTCTAAAAGAAATAATTCTGCATTTCTGTTCTCCTTTGTAAATAGTTGCTAGCTTTGAATGCATATAGTCTTACTCATGATTTTTTTCCTTTTCCTTTATCAGCATAAATTCATTGTATCACAGTATAATAGAAATGGTACAGAATTATTTGTGCATCACTGAAGTTTAGAATAACTTACTTCAGAATTTAATAACTTGTCTTTCTAGGCTGTAGTGACCAATGAACTTGAACATGGTGATAGACAAAAGGCTATGAAGCGCTTACGTGTTCCTCCTTTGGGAGCTGCTCAGGTTAGTATTTGCTTCCAGTGACTTACTTGCTTTTCAGTGTGGTTGTTGGTTGGCTTTGTTATCTTAAAATTTTTTTCATCCAAAGTTTGTAAGTGGTTGCTGCTATTCTAGTTCTTAAAAAATTAGATACCAGGATCCAGGTATGGTGGTATTACACCTGTAATCTCATCACTCAGTAGGGTAGTACGTACTCTGATTCCATTCACCCAAGAGTAGAAAAGTGCAAACTAGTAAATAGTGATAGGAATGTGATCAGTGGTTGCCAGAAGGCAGGGAGGAGTTGGGTAGGGTTGGCCTAGGAGGAAAGGATGACAGAGGGACATGAGGAAACTCGGGAGTCATAAATGTGTTCATTATCTTGATTGTGGTGGTAGTTTCATAGGTGTTTATATGCAGTAAAAACTTACCAAGTTGTATATTTTAAATCCCATATGTGCAGTTAGTTCTCTGTATGCCAGTTTGTTCAATAAAGCAGTGTTTAAAAAAAGAAAAAGGCCCATAGGCATATAATAGTCAGACTGATTGAAAAGAGAAGATAAAAAGAAAAATATTAAAAGCATCCAGAGAGAAAATATGCAAATTGTATACTTCAAATATATAGTTTATTGTGTGTCATTTATATTAGAATAAACTGATAAAAATGAGGAAATTAATTAAAAAAGTTAAAAGTGTTTTGGAGTGCATTTACAGGAATAGGCAGGGACTTTGAAGTTAGTGACAGTGCTGTGCTTCCTGATGAAGCATGTAGGCTCACTTTATTACTGGTCATTTACAGCACTCTAAATACCTTATGTTTATTATCTGTATATATAAACTGTGCAATTTTTGAAATTACAGTAACATTTTCTTTTAGAAAGAACAAATGACCATCTTCCTTTTGGATGCCTTTATTCTGAAACTGACTATACAGATTTCTGTTACAAATAATAAGTGGGAAGAGTTTCAGTACTTTTAGGATGGGGCTTGAATGTTTTAGAAAACATTGAAAATATTTGAAGTGCAATACCACCTCTCACAGCATGAAAAAGTTCACAAGATTATCTGTTTTTCATCCCCTTATGTTTAAAACCTCAGGAATTTTCTGTTTTAGAAAATGGTCATTTTTAAGGTTACTTAAACTAAATTACAATAAAGAACAGTATTATTTGAACCTACATGCTCTGGAGATTCTAATATACCAATCTGAAAAATTTTTTTAAATTATGCCTGTATAATAGCATAAGTGCTATAGGAAAATAAATGTTATTTTTACCATTGTCTCTAATTATTCATAGTACCAAATATGTAAACTTGAATTGAGTAATACTGACTTACAAAATTTAGAGATGTATATGTTATAAAAATGAAATTACATTTCAAATCTCTATAAAAAAACCTCTGTGTAGGGCTGGTCGAGTGGCAGAAGCATTAGGAATGCCTGTCTAGCAAGTATGAGTCCCTGAGTTCAAACCCAGTGCTTCAAAGAAACAAAACAATATTTCAGTGTATGTAAAATTTGATGCCTAAAATTATAATCCTCTTTATTTCATAACTTACATTTTTATAAAAGAATTAGACTAACTGGCAACTCCATGCTAGTTATACGATGACAAAGGGTGGTTGATTATCTAGTCCAGATTTGTAAAAATTCAGATCATTGCTGGGTATGGTGGTTCACACCTGTAATCTCAGCAGGCAGGAGGCTGTTAGGAGGATCTTGGGTTTGAGGTTAGTCTGGACTACATAGAGAGTTCTAGGCCACCCTGGGCTACACAAGCAAGACCCTGTCTCCAAAAAAAAAATGAAATCAGATCATAAAATACTATTTTCATTGTAAAATTTTAAGGCTTATGACTTTTACAGCATGTACTGAATGTAATTGATATCTTGTCTTATACTCAAAACACTGTTTTTCTGTCCACAGCCTGCACCAGCATGGACTACTTTTAGAGTTGGCTTGTTTTGTGGAATATTCATTGTACTGAATATTACCCTTGTGCTTGCAGGTAAGTAGCTCAAATTTTGAATTAATCTATCCTTATTAATATGCCTCTGTCATCTTCTCCTCTGTATCTACCAAAACAATTTAAAGAAATTTGCCAGGGCTAAATTTTTGTTCTTATAAATTTTGTGGGTCTTTTGGTAATTTTTTTTGTCTATTTTTGTCTTTGGATAGTTGTCCTTTAAAACACTGATCTCTTATTCTACATCATTTTCCAGTTTTTAATTCAACTTCTTCAGACTTTCTTAGAGTTCCATTATCAAGAACTTTAGCTCCCTTGATCATAGATGAAGAGAAATGTTACAAAAATTCACTCAGTAAAGCTTATTTACTTTGCTTTTACATCCTTTCCAGAACCTATTTACAACTGCTTTGCATACAGTTTTTGAGAAGTTTGGTTACATAATTTCATATTCTATAGAAGTTAAAAATTAGAAAGAGGAAGTAAGGATGGCTAAGAGCTACTGTACTCCCAACATCAAGAAATAATAGAATTGTGAGGAAGCATAATTTTACTAAGTCTCTCCAAAGAATTTGACCAGCCCTTCCATAGCATTTCACATTGTCTATTATTACTTCTTGAAATACTTTCTTAGATTGGTTTTCTTGGAAAACCATACCCTAGTGGTTTTCCTGTTAAATTTCACTGGTAGTTCTTTCCCAGTTTCCTTCACTAGCAGTATTCTTCTTTGTGACATTATAATGTTTGGGAGTCCCACTGGATTTAATCCTCAAATCTCTACTGGCAATATTCATTTCCTACCTAGGCAATCTTATTCAAGCCTGTGGCTATAAGTGCCGTCTATATGCTAATGACTCCCAAGTATATATCCTGTCTCCTCTGAATGATATCTCATTGCCTACTTGGATATTTAATAGGCATCTCACACTTACATAGACAAAAGAACTCTTGGCTTTTTTTTTTTTACCCCAATAGGTTTTTTCTTTCAGATCACATCAACTGTTACTAGTTTCTCAGGCCAAAATCTTTTAGCCTGTGTTTCCCTTGTGTTTGTCAGATTTCCATCACTGTGACAAAATACCTGAGACTATCAACTAAAAAGGAGGAAATATTTGGGCTTGTGGTTTTAGTCACTGATCAGTTGGCCCTATCACTTTCGGCCTAGAGCGAGACAGAGCATCATGGTGGGAAGCATGGGGTGGAGTAAAGTTGCTTACCTCATGGTAAGGAGGAAGGGGCTGAAGTCCCAATATACTCTTCAAGGGCACATTCCCAGTGATCTACTAAAGTTTCCACCATCTCCCAATAGTGCCATCAGTTGGAAACCAGCCCTTTTACACATGAACTTTTGGGGGACATTTAAGATCCAAATCATTACCTCTGTCCATATTCCATCACTAATCCATCAGCAAATCCTGTTGCTCTGTCTTCAAAATATCTTCTAAATCTGACCATTTCTCACCACCTTCATTAGGGTCATCTTTGTCTAAGCAGCCTCTGTACTGTCTCCTTATATCCACTATGGCCTCTTTGTAGCCACCAGCCTGTGGTGTTTTTTTTTTTTTAATGTAATTTAGATTATGTCACTCTCCTATGTAAAATCCATTCATGGCTTCTCTTCCAATAAAATCTAAACTCCTTACCATGGTCAGTAAGACACTATAGAATATTGTCTCCCAGGACCTTTCTTACTTACATCCTGCTATCCTCCTCCTCACTCACTCATTTATATTGACTATTCTTTGAAAACACTGTGTTCATTTCGATCCGAGCTTTTGCGGTTGCCTAAAAACTCTTTCCTAAGGTGTCTGCATGGCTTACTGTGTCCCTTCATTTAAGTCTTTGTTCAGATTTTTCAGTAAGGTCTTCCCTGGTCACCCTCCCCCTAAATATTCTACTCTGTATCTTTCAGTCCCTTAAGCCTATGTTAATTTTATTCAGAGTGCTTATGATTATAATTATTTTAGTGACAGTATATTACATATTTTCTTTTGCCTCTGTTTTCACACTAAAATGTTAACTCCTTGATGCTTGGGCTTCTGTCTCTCCTGGTCGCCAGTGTATCTTCAGTGCTAGAACACTGTGTGGAACATAGTGGGGGCACAAAAATTATTGGGGAAGTTTTTATTGTGTGTGTTTGTTTTGTTTTTTTGGTAGCACTGGAAGTTGTACTTAGATCCTTGTGCTAGCTAGGCACTCTACCAGTTGAGCCATGCTGCCGACTCTTTTTTTGTGTTGTTTGTTTTTGAGATAGGGTCTTCACTTTATGCCCTGGCCAGGTTGGACTCTAATTCTCCTGTTCATGCTTCCCTGTATAGTTGGGATGACAGGCAGATACCACTGCACCCAAGCCATTGGTTGAAGTGGGGGTCTTGGCTTCAAATCACTATCTTCCTGATCTCTGTTCCCAAGTAGTTAAGATTATAGGTTTCAGTTACTGCACCCAGCTTGGCGAAGTTTGAATGGATGAAAGAGAAGGGAAGAGATGAAATTAAATGCTACATAGAAAGTATACAAAACACACACACACTC